GGGCGAAGGTGATTGCTACCCCTGGGCCCGACCTGGCTCTCGACGGCCCTGCGTATACACCACAGTCCACATGTCGCGTCCCAAGCCATAACGTTCTCCAGGGTTCTCCACTGCAGTTTCTCTGAGCACATAGGCTCCTTCACAGCACGTAAGCGTCGCAGTCAAGTATTTAAGCGCCAATTATCATTAATGTTATGATGTTCTTTCACACCTGACCGTTTTCAGAAATATCGTGATGCAAACAGCAAGTTTCGGACTGGTCTTTATAGATGTTGCAAACATAAATTGAGTCACGACAAGGTGGAATCGTGCGCTCGACAACGTTTTAGCCTGTGAATTATTGGTTTTTGTCATAAACGTTGTACATTTGCTTTGCTTTGGATTAAAAAATACCTTTCTATCCTGAATGTAAGTGTAGGTATATATTTGCAATTGAAAGAGGCAGGGATCGCCTGTTGTTTAAGTTAAAATTAACGATATAATGGCCACTAAGGATTGGGACTTCCAAACCTAGAGTGTCCTTTTAAAATGATGAAAATTTACTTTTTTAAAAACTTTGAATTGATCAAAGTTTATAAGTAAAATTCTACATAGAAATGCATTATTTAAGGAACATAAAAGGTCCCGGTCCCACAATTAAAAAAATGAAAATATAACATCTACTGTATTATGTTGCCCAACATGCGTAAAAAAGTCGGTTTCTTGGATTTCAATATTTTGATAAATGTACATTTTTTTGCCTTGAAAAAATTACCCTAAAAATATTGCTGCCTAAAAACTGTCTTCTTTTGGGCGTGGGGTTCATAAATTCATTATTGCTGGCAGGTGAGAGCTGTTTATGAGGTGTCATATAAAACACTCGTGGACAGACACTGGCCTCGCCTCCGTGTTTCAGACGACAGGGCAGGCTCTATATAAGAGAAGGACAGGGTTCTGTTGAGACATCCTCTGCCAACAAGCTGCAGTGACCACACCAGCACAACAGTACAACAGCCAGCCACTTCTGTGTCCCAGTGTGAGTGACATCATGAAAGTACTTGCGGTCATCTTGCATCAGCCATGTCAGAGAAGAGAATCATCAAAGGAAACCCAGCAGCTCTGTACTCTCATCCTTACATCGCCTCTCTGCAATATTATGTCCGACAATGGCCTTCTTCAGGCTGGAAACATATCTGCGGAGGATCACTCATCAACAGGAGGTGGGTGCTCACCGCTGCTCATTGCGTGGATGGTCTTGTCACTAGCGATATGCGGATAGAACTCGGCGCTCTAAATCTGTACGAGAATCCAAACCAATACGAAGAAACCATCAGAGTTGCAAACTACACCAAGCATCCACATTACAGAGCCACGGGGTCTGGAATTCCCAACGACATCGTCCTAATCTACCTGACGAAAGACGCGACTCTCAACAAAAACATACAGCTCGCTCGTCTGGCTCCCAGCGGCTCCTCCTTCGCCTACACACAATGCGTGTTGGCCGGCTGGGGTGCGATCAGAACAGGTTCCAACCCCCAAGACGCCGAGACCCTGAAAGAGGTGAAGATCACCAAAATCCCCAATGATCGCTGCGACAATCTCTGGGCAGGCCAGGCCATCACGGACTCGCACATCTGTGTCCACGAGGCAGACAGGCATCCCGGCCAGGCTCCTAGCGCCTGTATGGGGGACAGCGGAGGACCCATGATGTGTGGACATGGACATGACATCTTGGCCGGGGTCGCGTCGTGGGGAGAGAAAACCTGCAGCGGAACTCTGCCCAGCGTCTACACCAGAGTCTCCGCGTATCTGAGCTGGATCAGGCACCGCTTAGTGATCCGCTCACACTCTGAGGGCCGGCCATATCCTTCTAATATTATTAGGAAATAAAGAATTAACTTCAAGTCATGTTTGATTTAGTCTTCCGTTTGTAATTGTTTGGGCTTTGGCTTGTTTGGTTGTTTCAGGTATTGATTTGATCTGTCAAGAATTTAGCTGTCTACTACTACAACTACTACTCTACTACTACTGCTACTACTACTACTACTACTACTACTACTACTACTACTAC